TGTATTTACATATACGGAACGGTCTACACCAGACGCATCCACAGAGGAACTCTATCAAGTATCCTAGACCATCTATTGGCACCCTAGCAATACTTTACTGGACTATCTACCCTTATTTGGCGCAGCCCTTCCATATCTTTTTGTATCTATCCACCGAAGGACCCGAGGGGTTTTCCTTCATTTGGGTTGCTGCCTACCTTGACTAATTTTGTGATTACTAGCGCTGAATTCTTTTTGTGTTTATCTAAATCCTATGATGGCTTGAGTGACATGAAACTGCCCATTTCCGCTACTACATCAACAGTATTAGAATAACGTCAGTCATCATATATAATGAGTGAGTTTGTCCAACAGCAGGTGATCAAATCCCTCTGTTTCTTATATAATTATATTCTGATCTGCTGTATTGCATTCTGCTTATATACATAAAATGTCCCCAAACAATTCAATGCAAGTAGCACTGAGAATAAAGGCTGCAGTTAAAAAATTCATCCAGTAATGAATCCAGATTAATAGTCAGGTTATAGTGTGATATCAGACAGTCCTGCACCCTCTCTTCTGCAGAATAAAAAAAGGAAAATAAAATGCAGAATAATGAGAGAACAGGGAAGGGGGAATTCCCAAATTGTTAAACTGCTTCAATTCATTCCATGTTCCGGAGAATAGTAAATTGAAATTATACTTAGACATGGTTTGAAACAGACAGGTGAGGAAACAAGTATCTACTGGGATATCTATACATTTCCTAGCAACATTTATTTATTTATTTTATAAATTAGTATTTTATTGCTCTGTGCGTATAATTGCATAGAGCTATGACATAACATCCCAGCTATGATGTACGGCAATTAGACTCCATTAATCTTGCAGTGGCTATCTGCTCAGAGTTCCTCTGTGAACTGTCTGAGGGATTTATGGACATAGGTAAGACAGTCGTTAATTCACGACAAAGTTAGTCACTTGTAACAAGCAGGCAAGTGGGGAGCATAGTAGTAGCTTTTAGCAGAATCAGCGTTTAGAGAGCGTGTTCTTTGTGGGCTTGTTTCGGCTCAGCAAAGTGCCTTCCCTTGGGTCTCAGTGCATTTCGTCTCGGGTGCTCCTTGGTGTTTCCATGTCTGCATGTCGGACTTTCAGTTTGAGCCTCTGCAGGAACGTCTCAGGATCGTCGTCCGAAAAGATTGTGAGAATCTTGTCTCCTTGTGGGACTTGCAAGGCACCGTCGGCTTCCAGGCAGTAATGGACCGAGTGGTCCCTCAGCATCTTGGCCACCGGAGCAAGTTTACGTTTCTCCACCAGTGTAGCAAACGGGATGTTGCTGAAGATTGACACTGAGGTTCCCTCATACTTTACGTCTCTCAGGAGTCTGGAACGACCCATTATTGCTGTGTACATTGTGATGTCTCTGGTAACAATGATTGTGTCTCTGGGGGGGTCAGCCGCGGGCTGTGGCAGCTTTGAATACCCGGAAGGTTGGTAAGTGTCATGGATGGGTCCCATCTTCCCTTCAGCTTTTGGGAGTAGGCTAGTAGTGCTTCTGGGAGAGTCACATTTTGTCTGTGGGAGGCAAGGGGTTCCTCGTCCTCCTGGGAGTCCTCTGAGGCTGAGGCTTCCACCTCGTACATTGCAGCAGGCATCATCTTGGGAGGCGCCGGCGGCACATGCCGCTTGAAGGAGAGTCTGATATCCGGCTGTTTAGGAGTCTCTAGAGGGTAGAATTTGTGTTGTTTGCGCCCCATGGTGTCTCTGTGACTGTGAGTACATGTAGGGGCTCCCGCTGATCATTAGGTCGGTAATACAGGTGATACTCGAAAAATTAGAATATCATGCAAAAGTTAATTTATTTCAGTAATGCAACGTAAAAGGGGAAACTAATATATGTGATAGACGCATTACATGCAAAGCAAGATAGTTCAAGCTGTGATTTGTCATAAGTGCGATGATTATGGCTTACAGCTCATAAAAACCCCAAATCCACAATCTCAGTAAATTAGAATATTGTGAAAAGGTGCAATATTCTAGGCTCACAGTGTCCCACTCTAATCAGCTCAGTAAGCCATAACACCTGCAAAGGGTTTTTGAACCTTTAAATGGTCTCTCAGTTTGGTTCAGTAGGAATCACAATCATGGGGAAGACTGCTGACCTGACCGTTGTGCAGAAAACCATCATTGACACCCTCCATAAGGAGGGAAAGCCTCTAAAGGTAATTGCGAAGGAGGTTGGATGTTCCCAAAGTGCTGTATCAAAGCACATTAATAGAAAGTTATGTGGAAGGGAAAAGTGTGGAAGAAAAAGGTGCACAAGCAGCAGGGATGGCCGCAGCCTGGAGAGGATTGTCAGGAAAAGGCCATTCAAATGTGTTGGGGACTTTCACAAGGAGTGGACTGAGGCTGGAGTCAGTGCATCAAGAGCCACCACACACAGACGGATCCTGGACATGGGCTTCAGATGTCGTATTCCTCTTGTCAAGCCGCTCTTGAACAAAAAACGTCAGAAGCATCTTACCTGAGCTAAAGAAAAACAGGTCTGTTGCTCAGTGGTCCAAAGTCCTCTTTTCTGATGAGAGCAACTTTTGCATCTCATTTGGAAACCAAGGACCCAGATTCTGGAGGAAGAATGGAGAGGCACACACTGCAAGATGCTTGAAGTCCAGTGTGAAGTTTCCACAGTCTGTGTTGATTTGGGGAGCCATGTCATCTGCTGTTGTTGGTCCACTATGCTTCATTAAGTCCAGGGTCAACGCAGCCGCCTACCAGGAGATTTTGGAGCACTTCATGCTTCCTTCCGCAGACGAGCTTTATGGGGATGCTGACTTCATATTCCAGCAGGACTTGGCGCCTGCCCACACTGCCAAAAGCACCAAAGCCTGGTTCAATGACCGTGGGATTACTGTGCTTGATTGGCCAGCAAACTCGTCTGACCTGAACCCCATAGAGAATCTATGGGGCATTGCCAAGAGAAAGATGAGAGACATGAGACTGAACAATGCAGAAGAGCTGAAGGCTGCTATTGAAGCATCCTGGTCTTCCATAACACCTCAGCAGTGCCACAGGTTGATAGCTTCCATGCCTTGCCGCATTGAGGCAGTAATTGCTGCAAAAGGGGCCCAAACCAAGTACCGAGTCCATATGCATGCTTATACCTTTCAGAGGTCCGATATTGTTCTATGTACACTCCTTGTTTTATTGATTGCATGTAATATTCTAATTTACTGAGATTGTGGATTTGGGGTTTTCATGAGCTGTAAGCCATTAATCATCGCACTTATGACAAACCACGGCTTGAACTATCTTGCTTTGCATGTAATGCGTCTATCTCATATATTTGTTTCCCCTTTTACATTGCATTACTGAAATAAATTAACTTTTGCACGATATTCTAATTTTGCGAGTATCACCTGTATTACCGACCTAATGATCAGCGGGAGCCCCTACACGTACTCACAGTCACAGAGACACCATGGGGCGCAAACAACTTTTGCACGATATTCTAATTTTTTGAGTTTCACTTGTATATCGGGTCAGTCTCGAGGTATTTGTGGAGCTCCACTAAGACATGTCTGCACAGTCGCGCGGTCAAACACGCCCCCTTTATTTTATTTATTTTTTATGGAAAGTTGATGAACTCTAGACATTTGCATTCGGTTTAAAAAAAAAATCACATTCATCCAAACCACATTTTTCTGCACAAGTCTAAAAAAACTCAATTCTGGTCTCAGATTATATATTCCATCTTGTGAGTTGTCCCTTATCTTTTTTACTCAACACTAACCATTGTATCCATCCAGGTACAGTACAAATTCACCCCTGGTGGTGAGCAGACTACAGCTTGCAGTGGCTAGTAATATTTAAGCCCTGGCTACTAGCACACGACTTCAAACTTTAAGCCTTTCCATTAGTAACTCGTACAAAAACAGTAAAAGCAAAAACAAGCTTGAACGCTTTTATCAATGATACATTTATCAATACTTTGTCAGCACAGACTGGGTCACTCAGCTGTTCTTGCAGAACCTCATTACTTGCAATTCCGAAGCTGCTGAAACAATCCATGTTTTTTTATTTTTACATTTTTAATTATTTACAGAGTGGTGAACATCAGCTACTCGTGTTGCAAGTTTTAAGAATTTGTAACTGGGGGAAAAAAAAGCTTAATTAAAGATGTTTCTAAAGTTAAATATAATGTTTATGTGTCAATTCTGCTACCAGACACCAATATAAAATCATGACCGGAGCCAATAATCCATTAATTATTAAAACTCGATTCTAAATTCTGCTTTCAAAGTTACTGTGGATACTTTTTCGTTATGATTTATTTATTTACTGCTTTGCCTACATTGTACAAGTTATATCTACTATTTCTGACCTTACTGTATATCGAAAATAAAATGGTTAATTAAAATAAAAATCGAGTAGTTGGGGGATTGGGGGTGTATCCAGTGTATGCTCATCAAGCAGAGATAAACATGGCTGTATCTCTCTATAAATGTCAACAATTGTCTTCTCTCCATTGCATATTCATACTGATAAAGCAATATTTGTTATCTTTATTTGTGACTCCGACTACACTCAATATAATATGGTTCATTTTTTATGCTAATTTAATATTCCTCCATATTATAATATTATTGTTATCCCTTTACATTCTGGATTAAGGTTGTTCTGGTAATTAGAGGGCTTACGATGGGATGGGGGTCCATTGTGCTAGATGCTAATTGTATAACCATCACCCTGTAGGTTTATGGTGTACAGAAGGCTGACTGATTTTGCTTTTTCCATGAGGCAGGGTAATGGAATGTAACTATCAGATAGAGGAGTTTATTTGTCCTTTTTCACCCAGACACTGAATGTGAAAAACCTCTTTAAACAAGAATGCGAATCTTCCACCAGAGGGTCAGTCTGGTCAAGTGGAGAAGTCACCCTTCGAATGAGCCTGTGGCCACGAGGAGGGAAGGATAACTTTAAAAGGGAATCTTCATCTGGCTTCCAAACTGTTTCTTTATCATTTCGGAAGTGCTAGAATGTGGAGGGGGGGTTCATTCCTCAAAGTAACTCGTGGCCTTACTGCCCATATAAAATCCGTCAGGGTGGTGGCAATCAGGACATTTGGAGAAGCAGACAAAGATTTAAAGACTAGGAATCAAGACATTTGGCAAAACAAAGAATATTAGAGGAGCCATGGGGGCTTTATTTGTTCAATACACTACTTTCGCATTTCTTCTTCTTGCAGTGATGGAGTCCATTGGAAGCCCAGCTTACGGCTCCATCCTCTCCTCTGACCTCTCTGATTTAAAGGTAAGCGAGACATGGCCAGGATTATTATAAAGAGTGTCTGTTGTCCAATTTGGGAATTGTGGAGAATTAAAATGGGAAATTTAAAATTTAGGCCAATATAGCAGAGTTTCTAACTGGATTTAGGACACTGGACTCAGGTAGAGGAATATTCTGTGAAAATTAAAAGGGAATGTTTAATCTGAAACTATACTGACTTTTATTCCTGGGATTTTAACTGAATAACAAAATACACTGTGCAATATATATATATATATATATAAATGTATGATAGAAGATAGCACTCCAGGGACTCCGTATTCTTTTAAAAATAAAACAACATTTAATTTCAATTGTCCATAAAAAAGTTGACTTTCAGCCTCTGAATATAATTTTTTTTTTTATATAAAACTATATTTGTGAAAATAAGATAAGAAGAAAACTGTATATTTTTCTGTGTGTATTATATGGAACTCTAAATGAAAGAGCTATATAGATAGACTTTTACAATTTCATAAAAAACAGCTTGGGAGGATGGAGAGATATAGGAGATATTTTGTTTCAATTAACAGAATGCAATGTGTTGCATAATGAACTTCAAATTATCATATTTAATATAGATATTAATAGACAGACATATTTAACAAGAAATTGGTGAGTGGAAACTAGTTTAGTTAAATAAACACACGGTCTACATATGTAAAAATCAGAAAATCTAAATCTTAAAATAGCAATATAACAAATAAAACCATTAAAATCTGGATGGATGAGAGAATATTTAAATACATTGTAAGAAGGGGGTGATTTATATTGGAAAGTACTCTTTACACAAGTGGGATTGTGGATTTTTATGTTTAAGTTACAAATCTATACTTTCTTGCATTTACATCTCCACCGTAGCCTTTCAGAATGAATTCTCTAGTCCTACTTGTGTATCTGCCCTTCATTTTTACCCAGCTCCCCATAAACTAATTCTTTAAACCCTTTCCTAAGCAAAAAGTCAATTCTGTGGCCACATAAATTAACAATACAGCTAATATAGTTAAAATTATTTTTCCCATGACAAAGATCTATCTTACCTGTGAAAGTCTGCTTTTGGATTGATAGATTTACCTTTTAATAAGTAAGACGCCTTGAGATTTAAACAATGTATGTGAACTTTGTGGTTGATACATATGAATTCAATATAATTTCAATATTCTCTACATCAAAGTCTTCTAAAACTATTAGAACTATATTCCTGAGAATATTCAGACAAACCGTACAGCGAGAATGGTCATGCTGGGTCATTAAGAGTTTGTGTAGAGTGTATATACACATAATTGTTTTTAATAGAATTTAAAAAAAAATTGTGGAAATGATAGAAGAGTAGCTTTGACATTTAGAGGAACGTTACCCAAGATGACACTATAGCTTCCAGTGGTCACACCGTATGAGAATTAGAAACATTACAAAGTAATAATTGACATGATTGATTAGGCCCTCCATTAACATGTTCATTCTTAACTGAACAGAGTGACACTTGGTTAACATGTTACAATGTGCTTCCACCAGGACATATTATCACGCTTGGAAGACAAACTTCCTTCTGAGGATGTTGAGGCCCCATCACCAGACTTGTTTGCCCAGAATTATGACACAGTTGACTTGTCAAATTCAGCTCCTTCCTGGACTGGGGAAGCTTCAAGACCTCAGTCAGATTTGGCCTATAACAAAGGGTCCTGGGGGCCGCCAGATAAATTGTCCCCACTCAAGAACAAACTACGGGAACTTCTCAACGTTCCGAGGAGCATGAGAAGATCTGACTGCTTTGGATCCCGGATCGATAAAATCGGAGCACAGAGTGGCATGGGGTGCAATAGCAGACGGGTGAGAGGCTATTGTTTCTGATGGGGAAGCGGTGTTCATGTATTTTACTGAAAAGTAATTCAATGGGGACATAATTTATTTCTGAGCTACCTCAATAAATTATAAATATAATGATAACCTCCAGAAATAATTCCTTGTGTGCCAAATAACAGAGTAATGTAATTATATTTTGGGGATTTTGTTGCAGACAATCTTTATACATGCCGTAAAAAAAACCAAAAAAAAAACCGCCAAAAATATAATGAGGCCTATCAAATTTAGCATTAGCTTCTATGCCATTATTTAATACATCACCCCGCATATAGATAGTACATACCGGACCTTCATAAACCCTAGACCCTTGCTAAGCTGCTTACGGGAAGAATGATTATTAATTGTGATATTTTTAGAAGGCCAATGTTTAACCCCTTAATGACCATTGGCATTTTATTCGTGGTGTGCTTTCAGTAAGAGGACAGATTGTTATTAAAGTATAGGGTGTACGTTACTCTTAACTGGTTAAAAAGATTATAACAGGTTTTTTAGACTATTTGGGAGTTGGGCAGAAGTTTTTGAGTCAATATAAGTTCAAATGGTTCGCATGAACTTTTCCAATTATGTTTGTAATATACAACCTCGGGTAATTGTATCCCCACTTTACACTCTTTCATTCTATTGTTTCCCAAATCCAGTCCTGAAGGACCACTTATAGACGGGGATTAACACATTTAACTCAAGGATCACTAAGTAACCCATCTGTGCTCAAACGTTGGGTTATTTCTTGAGTGTTTTTGAGAACAGGAATTGACAAAAATGGTTTTGCAGTATATTGGTTCTCAGATGAATCCTTTAGGATGATCTGTGGTCCAGGAGTTCAAAATCGAAAGCTTAACTCTTTCAGACATTGCTGTAGAGGGCAACAATAATCATGGTAAATTACACTACTGGATTTTATCAAGTTAAGTACAAAGACTTGAGAAGTTGTGGTTTTATAAAATTCTGGCCATTATCATCAAGATCACATGCTACACGTTACCAACATTATATTCCGGTCTGTGCCAGCATGGAATATCCAGCTTTAGCAGATCTTAACAGAATTCCATTCTGAAATAGAATCTTTAAAGATCAGATTGATTGGATGTCATCTTTCTCTAGAAAGTATTTTGGCCATATTTAGCCATCCTGTGCTATTTTACTAGAATATATGTTCAATAGACATGGTCAAAAAAATACTTCACTAAATTAACTCATCTTCTTTTCTTTATAGTTTTAAAGAAAGCACTCCGAGATAAGAAAAGCCCAGATGACGACGACCAAAGAGAGGGTGAAGGGTTAATGTATTTACAGACACTGTGCACCTAACACAATCTACGTCATTGTTTCATTCATGTGCAAAATCTATTTATTTTTTTACATGTAAAATTTTGACAGCTCACAAAAACGTCACTATTTATTCAGAGTGATTTAATAGTATCACATCCGGAGGCTTGTGACGCATTGCAGCAGAGAAAGTGTTAAATCTTCAGGACCTTGGACGAGTTAAAACACATTTTATTCCTTATTTTTTTGTTGTTGTTCCATTCTTTGTTGTATAGTGAAGAAAAATAATAAAGGATGCTTTCTACAAGCCTCATGTTGCCAGGGATTATCTCAGGAGTCTGTTCGTTATCCTTGTATCGCTGACTGATTCATTCTCTGTTTTTTTAAAAATCACGGCCTGAGTCCGATTCCCTCTCCCAGCATCAACATTTTAATGGGCTCTGCACCATATCCCCCTAGACGCTACAAAACACTGCGAAAAGGCCTTAAAAATTCACCAATACTGTAATTCTTTGTGCTGATACAAACAAAAACCTTAATTCTGTTTGACAGAGTAGAAAGTAGACATGAGGCAGAGGGGTACTATAATCTTACTAGTTTCTGGAGATGTCCAGCACCTCGCTATGTTCTTGCTGAGCCAACGCATTTAATGCCAAAGGCAAAAAAAAACCCCAAAAAACACAAAAATTATTGTAAGAATGACATCAGTTATTATGGTTGGGAATGGATTTATATGTGCTATAACACTGAGTGACACAGCCCTGACAATCAGAGGGTTAATTCTTTGTCGTTTTGGTAGCGTTGTACAAATCATTAGTTGGCTAACAGGGCTCCTTAATTTGCTCTCGAGAGTTTAAAATATAGTATGACGTATCAGAAAGACACATTATCAGTATAACACAAACTGCTGAAGCAGTGTCCAAAAGACGGCGCTACACAAAGGAGAAAATAATGTGAATGTGCAATAAAATGAAAATGAAGAATTTCATGATGTGCTTCAAAACTTTTTTCACTGTTATTTGAAGATAAGCCTAATTGATCACTGATATCTGCAGGTACACAGCTATCTGAAAAGAGGAGCCGTCTGGTTCCTGTAATTTTCCTGGGTTTTGTGATTTGACACAAGTAATATTTTACATCCATCCTATTCTCGCTATCGAGCAAATTTGAATGTATCTCTTAGCTTTTAAATGTCAATTAAAATTACTCAAACACACATTTGGGCAGCAATCGATTAAATTAAGAGATTAAAGCACAATTTGACATTATCAAAAGACAACAAAAACCAAATACAAACAAAAAACCTAGAATGGTTAAAAAAAAAAAAATCTTTCCCAAATGATAAATATTTTTGAATATGTTTTAACCCCCCCCCCCCACAATAACTGATCGGTTTGAATCATAACAGATAATAAAATGAAAATATTATTAACCAAAATTCGATCTTAAATATTGATCTATATTGTCGAAGTGTTATTGATTGGAACAAAGTTTTTGCTCTCCAGCCACTCCAAAGATCATTTTATTTTGCGCTCCATGCTTTTTTACATTTAACTTTTTATTTATTAATTAAAATTGTATGTTTCCCTTTTGAGCTGTGAAGACAATCCCTATATTACCCTAACTCTACAAATATCATGTAATATAAAGATACTCTCAATGGCAAAAAAAAAAAAAAAACAACTAATCTCAGCGTTCGAGAAATGTATAAATGAATGCATTATACACACTGATCAGAACGTGTCCTCTCTCTCTCTCTCTCTCTCATGTATCAAGAAGGAAAATAAACACTCAGACCAAGAAAGGGTGTTTAGTTTTTTTATTTGGACATATGATAATACTGATAGGATGCAGACACAAATTTAAATTAAAAAATTAAATACATACAAAAAAGAATAAATCTACAGATTATGTACAATTAAAATGAAATAATTTACAGTGCATATAATAAAATGGGATGACATGACAAGGGATCATAAAGCACGCTAAGGGAAAATAAAAAAATCAATCATGACCAATTAAAGAACATTGGTTGTGTCTAAATTTTTGAATCCAGTGTCCCAAAATAATATTACAAGTGATACGCACATGATGATATACAAAAATATAGATTGATAGATGGAAAATCTAATACTTAAACCATAATGAAATTAGAACTGCCTTTTGACAAGGCACAGACAAGGCATTTTATGCAAATTTAGTTAATTTTACCATGATCATCTCGCACAATACAGTGGGTCCCATGTCACAGGGTTGTTTTGTTAGAAAGGTTTGAGTCATGCTTAATATCAACGAGGACTCGGAACAGAAGTGGAATTATGAAGTAATATGGGTAAACAAATGGACAGTGTATTCTTGTATTAACTGAAGTTTGTGTTAAAAGTTAGACTAATATTTCTACATTTAAAAACTGGATTCAAAAATACACATCTCGAAAGGGATTTTCTCTTTAATCAGAATGAAACCCAGGTCTCCCTGGCATGGAAGGGTTAATGAGAGCTCGGTAGCTATGAAGACGATCACAATTAACAATTACAGCTCTTCCTAACCTCCCACAATGTTTAGTTAAAAAATAGCAATATATTCTGGGACATTGGGAACAAAATGTTTCCGTAAGACCCAGCATGATTTCAGAAGTCTTTTTGACAGATTACAATGACATTTTAGCAAAAATAAACGTTCCTTCATTGAAAAAAGAAAAAGCAGCAAAGATTCGGCTCTGTCCTCGCATGTTTGTCATTACAATTATTCGTCGAAGCCTGGATAATCTGATGAAACCATAAACCTGTGATTTTTTATTTTATAGCAAGATTAAATGAGCAATATTTTTTATCCCCCCCCCCACGTTAAAACCCTACTTGAACCTTACAAGAATTCAAAGAATAGATTTGTTTTCCTACAGTGTCACATTATGGGACATATCTGAATAATCCATGGAGGGGGGGGGGTAGCCATTTAAGGATACGTAAGGCGGCACGTCGCAGCTCTTCCATTCATTAGAAAACATGAATGATGAAGTGTGTATGTACACACCCAGTAAGTACATGGATGGACAGGGGCAAGCATAAGTTAGTATTTCATGTTGGGCGTTTAAGGATAAGCTCACCTCTGGGTTTATAAAATCGGGGAAATCAAATTGCTATCCCTTGCTCTTGGTAAAGTACAGCTACCATACCCCATGTCTGGAAGAGAGTTATAGAAACTGTATTTTACCAACAGAAGAAAAGCACCCAGATTGGACGTCTCAGGTATACAAGACCCTGGTCCTCACACAGTCAAGACACGTAGTAAGAGAGTAACATCTTTTGCAGTGCCAATGAAAGCTGGAAGGAAATCAATTCACTAGATTTCAAAGGAATGTTAAATAAAACATTTGCGGTAGGGATGTAAAATAAACAGGAGATTCATCCATCTACGTTGGGAAGACAAGTTTTTTTGAAGATATGGGCTGTGCCAATCCCAACGGGCGTAAGAGATGACCGTAATCTCTCACCTCTCTAAAGCTTGCAGAAAATCACCGACGTCATAATTGAACAGCTGACTCTGCACAGAAATACACCCCTCAAAGCAGAGAGAACAAGAGAAGACACATTACAAAACAGTGGCTCACACCAGGAGCCAAAACGCCCACAGCATTAGAACACTTAACAGTCCATTAACCGAGTGCAGCATACGTTTAGATCCTTACATCTTGCAGTAGCAGCAGATTCCTTGTTCAAGGAGGCAGATAAGGGTGGAGAGAGACGGGCCTGGCAGGAGTATCAAATTAGAATCAAATCGTTCACTACTTCGGAGCCCATGCTTGGAGTCTTTGGAAAACAACCCTCCGGCACATGGTGTACAAGATGCAATCGGGGGGAGGCGCGTCACTTAAACGATCAGGAGGTCATGTAGTGTTGCCTCAGCCGCGCTTGTAGGAATTCATGGGTCAAGTTGTGGCGGGTTATTATACCAACAATCTAAACAACAACAAAAATGTGAGACACATACTTGTAAATAACAGAAATCTCAATGCATCCTTCCTGTTAAAATAGTTTATAAAATGAATATAGTTAAATACTACAGGAAAAAAACTGTCTCTCAAGGTGCTTGATTGCCACCTCCTGGAAATTGATCAACATTGCAGATTTACAGAAAAACTGTAACTGATGGGAACAGTTAGTTTACACAGCATTCCCCGAATAACTGAAAAGGTTTAAAAAAAAAAAAAAAATGACTATGAATGCTTTGTGAATAATCAATAAATCTGCAATTTACAATAAGCCAAATAAAAATGAGATGAGTTTATGCCATGACACAAAACTGCAATCTTTAAAAAAAAATCCATCATACTGGAAGTGATCCCAGCTCAGCATATGGACCTCTGCTGTCACAGACAAGGATTATGAATCCAGAGTTTGCCAGCAGGTAGATCTCTAGTTGTGGCAACTGACATTTAATGTGGATAAGTGCAAGATAATGTATCTTGGACGTAAAAACCCAAGGGCAGAGTACAGAATATTTGATAGAGTTCTAACCTCAACATATGAGGAAAGGGATTTAGGGGTGATTATTTCTGATGACTTAAAGGTAGGCAGACAATGTAATAGAGCAGCAGGAAATGCTAGCAGAATGCTTGGTTGTATAGGGAGAGGTATTAGCAGTAGAAAGAGGGAAGTGCTCATGCCATTGTACAGAACACTGGTGAGACCTCACTTGGAGTATTGTACACAGTACTGGAGACCGTATCTTCAGAAGGATATTGATACCTTAGAGAGGGTTCAGAGAAGGGCTACTAAACTGGTTCATGGATTGCGGGATAAAACTTACCAGGAAAGGTTAAAGGATCTTAACATGTATAGCTTGGAGGAAAGACGAGACAGGGGGGATATGATAGAAACATTTAAATATATAAAGGGAATCAACACAGTAAAGGAGGAGACTATATTTAAAAGAAGAAAAACTACCACAACAAAGGACATAGTCTTAAATTAGAGGGACAAAGGTTTAAAAATAATATCAGGAAGTATTACTTTACTGAGAGGGTAGTGGATGCATGGAATAGCCTTCCAGCTGAAGTGGTAGAGGTTAACACAGTAAAGGAGTTTAAGCATGCGTGGGATAGGCATAAGGCTATCCTAACTATAAGATAAGACTAGGGACTAATGAAAGTATTTAGAAAATTGGGCAGACTAGATGGGCCGAATGGTTCTTATCTGCCGTCACATTCTATGTTTCTATGTTTCTATGTTTCTATGATAGAATCTACAGGCTGACATCACGGAGTTGGGAATGCAAATTAATTAATTAATTAATTAATTCACCCAGCTCTTTAAAATTTACAAGAGACATTTTTCTCTACCTCCAGCCAAAAAAACCCCAAGAGAACTCACCTCCCCCACAGCATTAACTACCGGTAAATGTCGGATTCCCATGGTTCTGAAGAGATTAAACACCTGCGAGGCATGGGTGTTTGGAGAAACGCTGAAGGGGCATGGATTCATGTATGGGGTGACATCCTAAAAGAGAGAGAAAACACAGACATATACAATATATGTAATCACCATTAACCTATAGCTTCTATGGCCTCCTTAGCTTCAGAAAGATTTGGACTAGTGCTAAGATGAGCAACTGATATTCAGCTCAGTGTTTAGAGATCCAGGTGCAGTAGATCTCAGAATCCAGTCAAGTAAACGCAGCCTTTCTGAGGTCCGTAACATAACTTTGGTAATAACAGACTCATGGACGCAGTAGGAAACTAACAAGTTAAATATTCTTATATTACTGTTGTTATTTTTCCTATAAAAGATTGATGTGAAATTTAGGGGAATAAAGCATTTGACATCTATTTTACCACAATCATGCGGGGGTTCAGGAGGGTGAGATTGACGTCGTGAATGTCCGGGTAACGAGGGTAATCTTCTAACATCTCAGCATGGGACAGACGTGGTTGGCTGGCACTCTGCAATTAAAGTAAAAATAAAATAAACACCATTTAGTCTTTTGAAACCAGGTAACAGTTTTGTCCAACAGCAAGAGGAAATGTTCTCCTGTTTGGGCAAGTGAACACACGAACACACACACACACACAAAAAAAATAGAAAAAAAATAACCACACACGTTCAATCTTCTAAGGAAACTTAAAAATTGCCAATAAAAAATAATAATAATAAAAAATATATATGTGGGGAATTGGCAATACTGTTTATGGCCAAAAAATACCCTAACGTTGGTGGGTCATAAACTGATGTTAACAATAAACTATTTCCGTTCGTTTACAGTCTAAACAGTACAACACAGTTTCCTCTCCAATGTGTGCGCGTCTCAGTAACGACGTGTAGTGTGTAAAATGGATATATTGTGTGGTTGTAATGATACATTAAATAAACAGTCCTGATTTGGACATTGGATCTGACCTGTATGGAATCCCAAATCAGCGCGTTTTTCACTGAATGAGAGAGAGGCGCAGTCTCATTATGAATAATAAAATGACTTGCAGGAACATGCAGCACATCTCATCAGAGCAGAGAAAGAACTGTCGATTGAGTGAAAAAAAACTCTGCCGGTTTGATAGGCAATTACCAATCAAAGGAAAAATTGAATATTTACTCCTTGGATGGCACTAACTCTGTGTTAAAATAGCTGCCTCCGCATTGCATTCCACAGTCTACTGAAAGAGACAGAGCCTTACTGGAAACCCCTGACTCTGCATCGTGACCACCACTGAGGGACTCACCGACTGGTTTTCAGAATAGCACACACCACGGACAAGTAACGTGACCAGCTGAGAACGTAGAATAAGACCATGGAAGGTCAAAGGTCGGAAACGTTCTTCCATGGTCCACTCCTCACTTGGAGACTGGTCGGGGTAAAGATTGGGATAAGGAGTATATCTAAAAGAGAGATACATAGGATTAACATGCTGGTGAAAGACTCCTTGATTTTGTCCATGTAGGTGCGGTGTGGTTAGCTCTGCGGTAATCTCCATTGTAAGTGTCCATTTAGCAAATAACTATCACTGTATCACTTGTTCCACTGCACAACTCAATGGTTGTGAGTTCACGGTTTGATTTTCTGTCTCCCTCTGGGAGAATACCTCCGTTCCAGCATCTGCTGCAACATATCCTCTTTCTCCAAAGGTTCCTCGGATGAAATATGCTCATCACACATATTGCGCAGCTCGCTGGACGGATAAGACTTCATAGACTGACTCCGCTTCCTCTGCTCGCCTGCACGAGTCAAAATGCTGGATTTCTATAGAAAAACAAAGAACATCCCATATAAGCAACCAAGGAATGGGATGGCAGCTTTATGCATGATGTTGGTCACTTGAAGGCAGTCTTGTTGCATATCAATAGGGTGACCAGATCTATTCTTTAAACAGGAGACACTTGGGAGAACCTACATTGCAAGAGCACATTAACAAGACCCACGAAGTACCATAATAACAACTATCGGTTCAACTGTGGCTCAGTTCCCATCAGTCTGGGAAGTAGTTACATTGCGCCAAGTGCTGAGTAATGTATCCCTGGGGTATAAACAGGGGTTTTTGGGATATATTCAGCATTCCCATTGACAACAATCTGACGGCTACGTTTGGCTGCCAAGTGTCAGCTACCTTCTTGTCTGGGAGAGCTCACAGCAGGACTTACAGTAAACAATGCACCTTCAAGAAGTGAGGGAGCATTTTCTTTTTTTAGCTCATTTCCTCCATTAACAAAAACGGTGGTCAAATCAAACCACAGACAGTGGGTTTTAAAATAAAAGGTTAGATTCAGGAGACAAAGCCATGATTTACAACTGGTTTTACACATTAACCCCACCTTAAACTTAATATTATTGCTTATAAGCTGGTTCCCTTTCATGAATTCCTTCTCATTGCCACGGTTCTCGGTGACCACAGGAAACGCATGATGTGCGGTTGTACGGAGGATGCTGACCAACGACTGGACCCGGGTATGGGGGTAAACATAGGTAAGGTTGGGTTCCATTATATCGCTGGCTCTCAACCTGTAGCAAATTTGTAGAGACACAAGGGAACCTCATTACTCACAGATAAAGGATTTATTCAAATTAAAATATATTTATAACCAAGACTGGTATTCACACTAGGACCAGAGCAATTTTGCCATTGTTGCTATGCATGTTTTTGAAATGCCTTTCTAAATAGTGCTCTGACATCAGTTATATACATTTGTTACAAAATAAATACAAACTTTTTTTTTTTTTTTACACCTTGTGTGTATTTATCATGTGAGAGATTGCGTATAATTTATGGACCAGTGGGGGTACCCCAAGCATATCTGTCACGGTTGACCAATGTGTATGACAGAAAGGAAAGGTGTCATAAAATCACTAAATACTGTACTGAATTGGCCAAGTTTTATTTATTTGTTCTAAAGTGTGCTTCAACTGGTTAGCCAAGAGGTTTTAGTCTATCACTACAATCAAAGGATGGATGAACTGACATGGAGTAATATGGCAGTGCAATTTCTACATTATCAGTGAGATCCCGGAGCGGCCAGGCTAAAGCTTCCAGTAAACCTGTGATTCTCGTCACATGGATTTAAATGGTTTGTAAGAAAATTGGGGAATACCATCCATAGACTTATAGCACCCCAAAGTCTATAGTGAGCTATATTGGCTACGGTGCTTTGCAAAAGAAAAATAAGAGGCATAGAATAGGACAACAGGCACTGAAGAAAAATGACATTTAAGACAGACTGTCACCGAACAGCAGGTAAGTCAAACTTCTCAACTGGCTTCCACAACGTGGTTTGGTGGCCAATAGGCCCATAATTTTACATGTAACCAATAGAGTGGTCGCCCTGTTGATGGCACAGTAAAATATATGGGAAGCAGAGTGTCGTGGTTGATAATTGTGGACCCCAGAGAGGGATAAAATGGCACCAAAGTTGTAAACCAAAAGGAAACATCTGTGGGTGAAATTGCTTTCTTGAGATCCCCGCTCAAACACCAAGATTAATAAGAGCACGTTCTTACTTGTCCATTTCTTCCTTGGTTTCCCACTCCAGGAGAGGGACGCCTTTCAGGGTCACGTGGATGTCATATATCCCTTTATTAAAAAAATCACCTGTCCATTTTGCAACCTAGAAGAAAGCAACAGAGTTAACAGTGAGGTGTCTGGATTACACACCTGCGGGGTCAGAGCAGTCTAAACTATCCTGAGCTAGCTTGTTTCCACAAAGATGACCTGTTATAACATGATATGAAAGAGCAGCACCCAGTGCAAACTATTCTTCAAAGTTACCGAAAATGTACACACGGTATTAGAACGGTGCACACACTTACTGAGGTTTGCAGATTCAGTGAATATATGTTTTTTAAAAATCTACAGTCTCCTTATAAACAAACATTGTTTTCGTAACAAATTTACTGGATAGACGGTGCTCTGGGAGGACTTACCATCAGTGTAATCATGATTGGCAATCCATATGAGATCTCATTGGTCGATTCGATGAGGATCACAGTAAGGCTTATGGTCATGCGGACCACACCTCCAAGAAAGGCCGCAGCACCAATCAATGCAAATGTTCCAGAGTAGATGTGGGTCAGCCCCAAATAACTGGACAGAGAGACAGACAGTCAAAGCAGTACACTAGGAAGCAGAAAGGGAAACCCCAGACGTTGCACTGGCTGAAACACTACAGCATGGGGCATAGTCTACCTTTTGAGCAGGTTAGCAACCAAGCGACCGAAGGCAGCACCACAAAGTAACGAGGGTACGAACAGACCACTGGGGACAGAGATACCATACGTCCAGCATGAGAGGAGGAAATACATACAGCAGAAGAAAGACAGAGTGACGGGGCTGAAAGTGCCTGGAACACAAGAGATGTAGAGAAGCTTTCACTCCACAGCTATAGACAGCAGAGCACTGCAGAGCCAGCAGACACTTTGGACGTGTAAGGAACTCACCATCCTGATGGAACAGCTGTAAGATGGCGGACTCCTGGGGGTTGAAAAACAGAGTGGCCATATCGTTGTAGGTGTTGTTAGGACAGAAGAAAGTCTTGATGCTGGAATTCACGTCTTCTGAATTGGAGACCCAAGGAACCTAAAACCAGAAATGGCGTCAGAAAATGTTGAAATCAACCAAACGTATAGCAAAATGTAATTTATTTGGATTCATGGCAAGATGGGCCGTATAGCAGCTGGCCAGATAGAGAGATCTGTGCCTGAGGTGCAGTACGTTACACTCTTTGCAATGTGAAATCAGACAAACTTTAACTAGTATATACAATATGGAGTTGGATAATAACATTTATATCTCAGGAGGTATGTAGAAGCTAATGGAAGTTAAAGTGAAGTATTTAGATAATTAGGTAATGATCATGCAGGCAGGTTTGATAAAAAAGTCCCTTTTTGGTACCGGTTGATAAGCTGTTAGTTTGCAGCATGGTAACTAAATGTAACTATTGGTTTCCCACCGTATGCTTTACATGTAAAACTCTGCTAAAATATGAATCATATTCAGGGAGGGGACAAAATCCACACTGATAATGTGCAAGAGTAATTCTGCATTATCAACATGGCTGAAGAACGGGCTGTCTTGGGGGTCACGGAGAGCTTTCATATTTGTCCATCCGTTAGCATAAAACCCAGAAGAGGGCTCTCAGGCACTTTAGGCAGGACAAACGCTACACCAAACTGGATTTATGTTGCACGTGTCCCTTTAATTCGGAGGTGCTAGACTCTTTCCTTCAGCCATGAACTATGAGTCTCAGAGATTTTTAGGTTGTTGGATTCAGTATAGAATAGAAGGACTCTGTCAAAGCATAAAATCACTTCTCTCCTTCTCATGCACAACATACCGGCAAGGAATGGCTGCTATTGCTCCAGTTTGTTGGTGGAGAGAGAGTTCTGCATTCTCCCAAGACCATGGATGCTACAAACACGATCACCGTTGTAACCAAGGAGACAAGTAGACTCTCACAGACCCTGCAGGAGAACGTCATGTTAGAGAGCAACCTTGGCTGCCTGTACAAACGTTATCACAAGCTGGTATATAGACAGTGTGGAACAATAAACCAACACACAGTCTGTACCTGACCAGCTTAGGTTTCGGGTGTACATTCTTCATTCGATATTTGGCAAGCCTTTTATTCAGACAATTGAAGGTGGCGCCTAGCAAACCTCCAACCACACCCATGATGATAAAAAACGCCAAGTCAACTATAGTCCACAGGTGACATTGTTTATCTGAATCAGAGCACTGAAAGGAAAACAAATACAAAATCAAACCAGAAGAAAAAGAAAATACATTTTGTGACTGTTACAAATGTAAAAAAAATAAAACTAAACGCAACCCCAACGTAAGCCACTGCTAATATCAATTCTGTTATTAGAAATGGGTTTTACTGTATTTAACGCAGTAGATGGTGGTATGTTGCTACCATCTACTGGCCGTTTCAGAATAATACTTGGTGTAATTCTGAATGAGCTTGTTTCCCAGCCGACCCTGGCTAAGCCCAGCACCGGTCCCACACAGCTGGGGGCAGACCTTGAGGGTCCTCACAAGCTGCCTGCAGCCACAAACACCATGGCTAAGCACGGTCACGCTCAGACGCAGTTTTATGAATACGTTAAAGGGCCCCGAAGAGTGTTGGCTTCCAGCGCTGCACAGAGCACATCAATCAGACTGGACCCACTAAAAACGGCCCCAGCAAATTAACAGAAGCCCCAGGTAGCAATGGATTTAGCCCTGCTCACACCATGATATCTATTAAGGCATTTAAGTGCCTATTTAAAGATCCACTTGCAGCACTGGCTTCCAAAAAGTCTGGGGCCCCTGAGAATAGCCCCAGCAGACAGAGGGGAGCCCCACCGATACCTGGGGTTCCCTAATGTGAGCAAGAATTTAACCCTGCACAGAACAAATCTGCAGGACGTGTCATTACATCCAAAAGGCACTAAAGCCATTATAGTAACGATGTAATGGAACATCCTAACGGCATAAAGAGATTATGTGGCACATCGGGCATCTAGCAGTGTTGTTCATAAATATGAAAGAAGATTCTCAATGTTAACAGAAAGCATTCATGTTTCATGCGATTTACGACTTAAATGGTTTGGGGAGAGAGGGTGAGAGGGAGCCCATTAACCCCCTACATCAAGACCAGCACTAACTATACTCAGGGTAAAGACTTAAATCTTACTATATTAAAAAGCAGAATGTGTACACACCTTAAATTCACCAAAATTCAGAAGTCCAGGCACTTGGAAAGATCCCCAGCTTGAAAACTGTATCCCAGAGCGAAAGAAATTCAGAGTGAAAGTTGCCGACATGGAGCAGAAGAGCTGAGAGAGTAGAGATTGAAATATTAACATAATGACAATAACTGTCCATTCTTGTCTAAATAAGGTTAATTTAAATTACTAGCCATTCCGTTCCAAAGTGGAAGGTGAGTGATCTATTCTGTTACAAAGCGGGAGGTGAGCGATCTATTCTGTTACAAAGTGGGAGGTGAGCGATATATTCCGTTACAAAGTGGGAGGTGAGCGATATATTCCGTTACAAAGTGGCAGGTGAGCGATATATTCCTTTACAAAGTGGGAGGTGAGTGATCTATTCCGTTACAAAGTGGGAGGTGAGCGATCTATTCCGTTACAAAGTGGGAGGTGAGTGATATATTCCGTTACAAAGCGGGAGGTGAGTGATCTATTCCGTTACAAAGTGGGAGGTGAGCGATATATTCCTTTACAAAGTGAGAGGTGAGCGATCTATTCCGTTACAAAGTGGGAGGTGAGTGATCTATTCCGTTACAAAGTGGGAGGTGAGCGATCTATTCCGTTAAAAAGTGGGAGGTGAGCGATCTATTCCGTTAAAAAGTGGGAGGTGAGCGATATATTCCTTTACAAAGTGAGAGGTGAGTGATCTATTCCGTTACAAAGCGGGAGGTGAGTGATCTATTCCGTTACAAAGTGGGAGGTGAGCGATCTATTCCGTTAAAAAGTGGGAGGTGAGCGATCTATTCCGTTACAAAGTGGGAGGTGAGCGATCTATTCCGTTATAAAGTGGGAGGTGAGCGATCTATTCTGTTTAAAAGTGGGAGGGGAGTAATCTATGTAGACATTGGTGGTTATTCTGTAACCAGCATCTAAGCAGCTTGTTCATTTTACATTTACAGGAGATTGTTTTGGTTTAGTAATAGACAAACATTCTACCAGCAAACATGAAAAAACAAGGTGCAGCACATACAACTTAAAGGGAAATCACCAGGTGAAATATAACGGTATAACATAAAATGTGTGTATGGTGGGAGGGGGGGGGTCATATCGCTGTTCCATGCCTCACCACTTTCCATGTGAGCCCCTGATTCCAGAAAGAAGATCCTTCTTCCAAACTGAACAGAGTGCCCCCTATTGGAGCTCCAAAAGCAGCAGCAACTCCAGCTGCAGCTCCTGCAGACACAAAGTCCCTCTTGTCCCTCGAAAAGAACAAAAACAAACAGATGAGTTTTGTTTAAATGAAACAAACACCTTGAGATGTATTTATTAACAGTTCTTACATTCTAATCTTATCCGTAGTACTTTACAGATAGAGGGGATTTATAATTATACCCTCTTATACAAAGGAAAATGAAAACTTCCTATGGGCTTCAATGTCTGCTGCAACTCTGAGAAAATACTACTGAACACAGCCCTGTGAGCTTACAATCTAGAGGGATAACGCACATTGAGACCATATAATATTTGTGCCAATAGTTGGTGTTTCCGTCACAAGAAGTTCACAGTAAATAAAGTAGGAAATAGATTAACACTGATTGATACGTAGAGATTCAATACTCAAATGATCAGAAAGGGATTATGAGGTGCAATGGTTGTGCTCATATGGAACAAAACACGTTCGGTTGAATATCTAAGCTTTAAAGGTTTTATAAAACCAACCAGGGGAATCATAAAGCAGCATAAAAAGATCCAGAACATAAATGAAAGTCCACGGATGTGAAGTTGGTCCTACAATCATCGCAGATTCTTACATGTTTCTATCACTCGGAGGCGGTCATGCAGAGAAACGTTGGATAACCTTATTTTAGTCATTACCAGGCAGATATCCCAAGTATTGCTGGCTGGGCTTCATTAATTCAGTGATTAAATAAATAATAGCAACTGATATTTGTTCCTTACCGGTCACTGCGGAAATATGGAAAGTCAAAGTTGATTTTCTGGAAGGAGATGCTCTGAAACTAAAAAGAGATCAGACTTAATTCAAGAACCACAACATCTTTTTTTCAATTAAGTCTGTCAGTGAAAAGTAAACGGCATCACTGGGAGGCCCAAGGAAGAGAAAATATATGAAAGTGGAAATAGACAGAAAAAAACCCAAAACCTTTAAAGGGACGTTTCTTCAATTCATTTTAAACTTAAACCAATATGACAAAATATACACCTGTGGTAGACCGGCTCCAACCACAGCGCCGCTGTGAATCATCGGACCCTCCTTCCCGACAAACAAACCTGACAAAGACAGACATACAGAATTGGTTAGGCTGCAGCCATGGGGAGGGTTACAGTTTATCGCACAAATCTTTAAATATGTGAATAAAACTGCCTGGGCGTGAGTGATAAAGAATGGCTTCCTATGTATGGCAATAATATTAATACACAACTGGGCACAGAGGTTATCCCAACTCAATAGAATCCATCAAAGCACACATGGAAGTATGAAATTCATTCTGCTGAAGCTATGATGTGAAGATCGAAGGTTGTTGCACTAAAATGAGCTCTCTAATTATGGACCAGTATGGGATAATAACATTCTCTTACGTAATCAATTTTAGAAAAAAACAATACTGTAGTGGTAAGAGTTTCCATAAGTCATATGGTCAACAATAGTATTTTTGATATAAATATAAAAAATAAAAATAAAAAATTATTACATTTTATTTTAATCAAAACTGACTTTTTTGCCTGCAGGATAGCTTTAACTAAGGTCATGGGAGGCTACGCAATTGTGTAGACTCAACACATTACTCTTGTTATCAATAACTGGTGGTGGACAACATGCGCAGCATTTTGTATAATACGCAACAGAAGCCTAGATCAGTTATATTCAGTGATATTCCCAGAACATTGTCAGTTTATCCACAGAAGCCCATTATGGAATTTATTCATTCAACAAAGAATTGTGGGATATTGAAAATAAAGTTTATATATAGGTTCACTAACAAAAACTAACCCACAGACCATTCACAGACCACAAACAAGCGGCGGCAGTAAGAAGTCAGTAAAGTATTATTGGATTGTTTTGTGGCCAGTCTGATGGGTAATCCAAGCTGAATGACTTATTTTCCTTACCTCCAGAAACACTGAATAGGACGCCCAGCGCTTTGCAGACAAGGGTTCGGAGACGCACCACGCCAGGTACTTTCACGCCGTTTAGGTAACATTTGATTTCAGGTATTCCAGAGCCGGCGGCCACAGGCTGTGTGAGACATTGTAATTTATACAGGACAGCGGATCAATTAAACTGAAAAACAGAAACATTCCCTTCCTGCCAAATCTGAGAAACGTAACCAACATTTGTCATTAAAACATTAAACAATTCAATGTGGTTTCCCTAGTCTCCTTAAGGTAGCTTTAGCCCTCTCCCATATACCAGCAGTCTGCCTAATACTGGATCAGTGTTAAAGGAACATACCTGTATCAGGACAAAGACTGTGGCAGCAAAGGCAAAGGTCAAGTTGAATCCAAGCAGTTCCAGCAAAGAAACCGCCAGGCATCCTTTATCTGAACACTCTTCGACTGCTGAAATATGGGCATCAAGGACATAACACCAATTCCAGAGGATTCAAAAACTATTTCAAGAGTTGGCAACTTCTAATATGCACCAAGATACGAATGTGGCGGCTAGTTATAATATGCAGCCAGTTAGGCATGCAGCAGCCAGTTATAATATGCAACCAGACAGTCATGCAGAGGCCAGTTATAACATGCAGCCAGCCAGTAAAAATATGCAACCAGTCAAGCATGTGGTAGCCGGTTATAATATGCAACCAGACAGGCATGTGGCAGCCAGTTATAATATGCAACCAGACAAGCATGTGGCAGCCGGTTATAATATGCAAACAGTCAAGCATGTGGCAGCCAGTTATAATATGCAACCAGACAGGCATGTGGCAGCCAGTTATAATATGCAAACAGTCAAGCATGTGGCAGCCAGTTATAATATGCAGCCAGTTAGGCATGCAGCAGCCAGTTATAATATGCAACCAGACAGTCATGCGGAGGCCAGTTATAACATGCAGCCAGCCAGTAATAATATGCAACCAGTCAAGCATGTGGCAGCCAGTTATAATATGCAACCAGACAAGCATGTGGCAGCCAGTTATAATATGCAACCAAACAGTCATGCGGAGGCCAGTTATAACATGCAGCCAGCCAGTAATAATATGCAACCAGTCAAGCATGTGGCAGCCGGTTATAATATGCAACCAGACAGGCATGTGGCAGCCAGTTATAATATGCAACCAGACAGGCATGTGGCAGCCAGTTATAATATGCAAACAGTCAAGCATGTGGCAGCCAGTTATAATATGCAGCCAGTTAGGCATGCAGCAGCCAGTTATAATATGCAACCAGACAGTCATGCGGAGGCCAGTTATAACATGCAGCCAGCCAGTTATAATATGCAGCCAGAGAGGCATGTGGCAGCCAAACATCCATGTATCAGGCCAGCGTAAAAACACAAAAACAGAGACTGCAAGAAACTCAATAGCGTTCCCTTTGGTTAGTCTCCGCTCAGGTCTCAGAAATGTTTTTGCCCACTTGTGCCATTACAAAGAGAACCTAGATCAGGCAGTCCAGAACCGAAATGCCAGCAAGTTCTCCGTGCTAACAGCACTGTGAATGCAACATGGCCTGCACATTGCGAACACAGAGTGTAGCTTTACATCAAAGAATATTAATAGTTAGGATTGAGATCCGTTAACCATTTATTCAGAGTTTGATAAAGGAGGACAAATGTCTAGGTTTCCCAGCAGTCTGACTGTGTCACAATATTGATAATCACATTCATCAGCCCAAAGTAATCACAAACATAATCAGACATTGACATGGAAAACGACAAGGTGAAGATTTCTAGGTAAACGATTTTAAAAAGAACTACCGCATGCCACTCTCAATATATCAGGTTAGATCAATAACAGCGAGTTATTACTTTCTCCATTTACATGCGTTTCCTTAGAAATGACTCATTTATCGTGGCTTGGGTGATCAGACAATACGGGGAAAGGAAACATTTACAGATTGTCTCATTTCCTAAAAAAAGAATCAGCACTTTGTTTCCTAGATTACCAAGAAATGATTTTCCTCTAAGCTACTGATCCTGTCTTGTTTACAAGTGATTTAGTGCAAGTACAAGTGATACTCGAAAAATTAGAATATCGTGCAAAAGTTCATTTATTTCAGTAATGCAACGTAAAAGGGGAAACTAATATATGAGATAGACGCATTACATGAAAAGCAAGTGTAACGGCTACCCGGGTAGAAGGAGGGTATCTGCCGTTGGAGACGTCCTTTTTCCCTGTAAGCTGCTGTGGAGAAGTAAGCTGGTATAATCCTATCCACGATATCCAGAGTAAGAGTCAGGTTCAGCTGTAACAGGAGCAGAATAACATTCCCAAATAATCCCCTTCCAAGAACGAGACAAGGCTACGTTTTGAAGGGTCAAGAAGATCTGAGGACTGGAACACCCAGCCTGCTTTTTATTGGGATCAGGTACACACAGGATACTCCCAGGGGGAGGATAAAAACACCCAATCATATACCTGGTAACACCCCCACGTCTCCTCCCCTCAGATAACATATAACATAATTAAAACGTACAACATTTTACCCCAGTTCTGGATGTTCCCCAAAAACAGGGGGTACAGCTTTAAATCCTGGGTCGCTTGATAGCTCTCATTCAGGGGACCAACATGTCCAAAAATCAGCCCATTCGGATGAATAGTTCGGGAGATACAGAGTTCCAAAGTTTTGACCGACCGCACAGACCAACTAGCCGAAAATAGTTCCATGAGTTTTGGCCTTGCGGTCGATCTCCGTTCGCCTGGTAGAAAGGTATGAAATTCTTGCCATCCATTCGAATCTCAGGGTTCGCCGCAATCCCCATAGATGATTGAACATAACTACCGAACGTCCGGTGATTCGGTAGTTTCCGTGCGAACTTCTGGAAGTATGGAGGACTCAGCGGTGTTCGCCTGTTTGCGTATCCGATTTTAGTTCCACGCGTCGACAGGCAAACACCGCTGTTCGCACGTAAGATGGCCGCGGCCACGTGTAAAGTCCCGAAATGGCGGCCACCTATACTTTACACAGGGAGTTCATGCGAATCCATTCGAATGGTTGAAATGCACTAAATGTGCCGAATTCCTGCTGATTTTGGTTAGTTCACTGGCCCAGGCATACAGCATAGTTCTGTTACACTGCTCCCCTTTTGTGGAACACTCCGGCAGACCCGGATTGACCTTTTTCGGGTCAACTTGGGGCTGTCCGGTCTGCCTCTAAGGTAAAAGTTCTGTTTGCCTGGACAGTCCGTCTGCATTCCCATTGAACCGGCCTGGGCGATACTGGATGGAGAAATTATACGGTTGTAGGGCTAGGCTCCACCTCAGTAGTCGTCCATTGTCCCCAGCCACTCGGTTCAGCCATACTAGAGGGTTATGGTCTGTGATCAGGGTAAACTCCTGACCATAAAGGTAGGGGGTGAGCTTCTTTAGGGCCCAGACCAGGGCTAGACATTCTTTTTCCACTGCCGCATAACTCACTTCCCTGGGCAATAGCTTTCTACTCAGGTATGCGACAGGGTGTTCTCCCCCATCTTCTCCGACCTGGCTTAGCACTGCCCCCAGTCCGTACATGGACGCATCTGTGTGGACGACAAATCTTTTATTAGGGACGGGGGCAGACAAAACGGTGCGTTGATCAGAGCTTGTTTCAGGGTTTGGAATGCTGTTTCACAGGTGGGAGACCACAGGACTACCCTAGGTAAATTTTTCTTCGTTAAATCGGTCAGAGGTTTGGCGATGGCGCTGTAGTCAGGGACAAATTTTCTGTAGTACCCTGCCGTTCCCAAGAAGGCTAATACCTGGGTCTTAGTGTGGGGGATGGGCCAATTCGCTACGGCCTCTACCTTGGCGGGTTCTGGTCGTTGTTTCCCACACCCCACTCTGTGTCCCAAGTACCGAACTTCGGCCATACCAAAGTTACATTTCTCTGGTTTCAGGGTTAGGCCGGCGGCCCTAATCTGATCCAGCACAGCCTCTACGTGTCGTAGGTGTTCTTCCCACGTCTCACTATAGATCGCAATGTCATCCAGGTACGCGCAAGCGAATTCCTGGAAGCCATCAAGGAGGCGGTCCACTAAGCGCTGAAAGGTAGCTGGGGCATTTTTCATCCCGAAAGGCATGACCTTGAATTGGTACAAGCCAAACGGGGTGACAAATGCCGACTTAGGGATAGCGTCCTTGGCCAGGGGGATCTGCCAGTATCCTTTGTACAAATCGATGGTGGTCAGATAGCGTCCCCTAGCAATACGATCTAATAGTTCGTCTACTCGGGGCATGGGGTATGCGTCTGTCACAGTTCTGTCGTTAAGGCGTCGGTAGTCGACACAAAATCGGGTCGTTCCGTCCTTTTTGGGGACTAGGACGACTGGGGATGCCCAGGGGCTGTCGGAGGGTTCTATAACTCCTAGCTTTAACATTTCCTGAATCTCCTTTCTCATCTCCTCTTTTACGGCTTCGGGAATTCTATAGGGAGTCTGTCGGAGAGGGTTTTGTCCTGGGGTCTCTACGTAATGTGTCGCTAAGGGTGTGTAACCGGGTTCCTGGGAAAACGTCAATCTTTTTGCAGCTAGCATCTGCTGGAGTTGCTCTCTTTCGGTGGGCGTTAGTCGCTCCCCTAGCTGTACAGTGTTCAGCAAGGTTTTAGGCTCGGGGTTAGCTAGTAGATCCGGGATGGGGAGACTGTCCGGGTCCTCAGTGGCCGGGATACATATGGCTGCTATGTCTTCGGGCCTTTCCTGGTACTCTTTCAGTAAGTTTATATGGAAGGACTTCTGTATCCTCTCGTCCTTGCTACTGGCAATTACATAGGTGGTGTCACAGATCTGTGCGACCACCTTGTAGGGGCCTTGCCAGGAGGTTTGTAATTTGTTCCCTTTAATGGGTCTAAGTACTAGGACTTTCTGTCCCACCTGGAAGGTTCTCAATCTCGCGCCCCGATCGTACCAATGTTTCTGTCGGCCTTGGGCCGCCTGGAGATGCTCTCGGGCCATCCTGGCTAGGTGCCCCATGCGGTCCCGATACGATGGGGACCCCCTCATGTTCTGTCTCTCCCTCCCAGTGCTCTCGGATCAGGTCGAGGGGGCCTCGTACCCGCCGTCCGTAGAGCAATTCGAATGGGGAGAACCCTGTGGATTCTTGCGGCACCTCTCGATATGCAAACAAGAGGTGTGGCAAGAATCGCTCCCAGTCCCTGTATTCCGCTGTAAAGGTATGCAGTAGTTGCTTTAGGGTACCATTAAAGCGTTCACAGAGACCGTTAGTTTGAGGGTGGTACGGGGAGCTAAGGAGGGATTGGACACCGCAGGCCTTCCATAACTGCTGAGTTAGGTCTGCGGTGAACTGGGTCCCTCGATCCGACAGGATTTCCCGGGGAAATCCTACTCTGGTGAAGATCCCAACTAGAGCACTGGTGACAGTGTCAGCCTGGATATTCGTCAGAGCGACGGCTTCTGGGTAGTGGGTAGCATAGTCTACTACAGTAAGAATATAAGGAAGGTTGTGCGGTTACCCCCTAGATGCCCTGCCAACGGAATGTCGTGGCCAATTCGGAGAAGCTCCCACCGGTACTTTCTGGGTACCACTAATTGGCGCTTCTGCGAGGGGGCACAGCCTCTCTTCCTGCCTTCGGTCAATCTGTATAGCCTGTCCCCCTCCCATACAAAACGTTCTCGCTCGTCCTCCCTACTGTCAGCTAGTTCCCTGTACTTTTGGAGGGTGGGGTCCTGCCTAGTTTCCCTCCCAAATTCTTCTGGGGTGTCCCAAGCTATGGGTCTCTCTGTAATGTTAGTGTGGGGTGTCTGCTTGTGGCTTACCTGGGTCTCCCGACCTGCTGTAGGATCGTCCTCGATACGGGTCTGTGAGCGGGTGGTCACGGGGCAAGCACCAGCAGTAGTGGGTAAAAATGCTGAAGCTAGAGGGCCAATATCGTTGCCCAATACGACCTCGGCGGGTAAATTGTCCATGATGCCCACCGTGGTCTTTCCTGACCCGGCTCCCCAATCTAAGTGTATCCTGGCGGTGGGTAAGCGAAAAACCGCTCCCCCTGCGACACGAACAGCCACGGTACGATTTGACACATGTTCTGGTTTTACAAGGTGTTTCTGTATTAGGGTAATGGTAGCGCCAGTGTCTCTTAGGCCTTGTGCTATCTGTCCGTTCACACGCACCTCCTGACGGTGATGCTGACGATTATCTGGGGAAGCTGCTTGTATGGGGTTGGCCTCATATAATATTCCCAAGCACTCTTCAGGGCTTCCTTCAATTTCTAGGCAGTGAGCAGCCGCTGGACGTGGCGGTGTGCTTTCGGTGTTAGGTGGGCGCCTCCAGTTATTATTGGCTGATCCCAACGGGCAATACCGGGCAATATGTCCTGTGTTGCCGCAGCGATGGCACGTTACTTTGTAAGATTCCCGGGGATGGTTGTTATGCCCCTGGGGACGTGGAGGCCCTGGGGGTACTGGGGCCCGAAATTCTGTGCGTGCAGGGTAGGTTGTAGTGCGGGCCTCTGCTCTAGGGGCTGGTCGTGTGTTACTTTGGCTCACCTTCCTTGTCTCTGCATACTCATCTGCTAGTCGCGCTGCCTCAGTTAAATTGGCCGGGCGCCGATCTCTGACCCAGTCCTGTATATCTGCAGCCAGATCTTGAAAGAAGTGTTCCATCAGGAACAACTGTAATATTTCTTCTCCGGTGTTAGCATTGCACCCTCGCACCCAGTGTGTTGCCACCCGTTGTATCTTGTTTGCCCATTCCATGTGGGAGTCCACTGCCTTCTTTTTGGACTCCCGGAAGCGACGGCGATATGCTTCTGGGGTGACCGTATATCGGGTGAGTAGTGCAGCTTTCACCCGTTGATACTGCATTATATCTTCCGTAGTAAGTGCCCGAAAAGCCTCATTTGCTTTTCCTGAGAGCTTTCCAGCCAGAATAGTAACCCATTGGTCTGGTGGTACTTGGTGTAGCGAGCATTGTCTCTCAAAGTCCGCTAAATATCCGTCAATTTCTTCTTCATTCTCTACAAACGCTTTAAATGCAGTGAACGGTATTTTCCTCCCTGTAGCAGCGGGTGGGGGGTAGGAACTGCCTGTGTAATGGGCTGTCTAGCTCTTACCAGTTCCGCTTCTTGTCCCCTCTTAGTTTGTATCTCCTCCCTTGTTTCCCGGAGCAGCTGGTTTATTAGCTCCGTGGATCTTTCTGGATACCAAGCTAATCTCCGCTGTACAATGGCAGAAATTTCATCGTCCTCGCTGACAGGTGCAAGAGGTTCTGTTACCTCCATGGACCTATCCATTTCGTCCAGTTCTAGTAGGTCAGCTATCAGCTCCCTCCGTGGTCTGTTGCTGGCACTCCTACCACGACTCTCCAATAAATCCTTTAATGTGGGTCTTTTCAGCTTGACGTACTGAGCCTCCATTCAGCACTTGTTCTCTGGATAAAAGGACCATCCCACCGCTGCCACCAAGGTAACGGCTACCCGGGTAGAAGGAGGGTATCTGCCGTTGGAGACGTCCTTTTTCCCTGTAAGCTGCTGTGGAGAAGTAAGCTGGTATAATCCTATCCACGATATCCAGAGTAAGAGTCAGGTTCAGCTGTAACAGGAGCAGAATAACATTCCCAAATAATCCCCTTCCAAGAACGAGACAAGGCTACGTTTTGAAGGGTCAAGAAGATCTCAGGACTGGAACACTCAGCCTGCTTTTTATTGGGATCAGGTACACACAGGATACTCCCAGGGGGAGGATAAAAACACCCAATCATATACCTGGTAACACCCCCACGTCTCCTCCCCTCAGATAACATATAACATAATTAAAACGTACAACATTTTACCCCAGTTCTGGATGTTCCCCAAAAACAGGGGGTACAGCTTTAAATCCGGGGTCGCTTGATATCTCTCATTCAGGGGACCAACATGTCCAAAAATCAGCCCATTCGGATGAATAGTTCGGGAGATACAGAGTTCCAAAGTTTTGACCGACCGCACAGACCAACTAGCCGAAAATAGTTCCATGAGTTTTGGCCTTGCGGTCGGTCTCCGTTCGCCTGGTAAAAAGGTATGAAATTCTTGCCATCCATTCGAATCCCGGGGTTCGCCGCAATCCCCATAGATGATTGAACATAACTACCGAACGTCCGGTGATTCGGTAGTTTCCGTGCGAACTTCTGGAAGTATGGAGGACTCAGCGGTGTTCGCCTGTTTGCGTATCCGATTTTAGTTCCACGCGTCGACAGGCAAACACCGCTGTTCGCACGTAAGATGGCCGCGGCCACGTGTAAAGTCCCGAAATGGCGGCCACCTATACTTTACACAGGGAGTTCATGCGAATCCATTCGAATGGTTGAAATGCACTAAATGTGCCGAATTCCTGCTGATTTTGGTTAGTTCACTGGCCCAGGCATACAGCATAGTTCTGTTACACCCCACCTGATGGTCCGTCTGGGAGATGAACTATAGGTGCAGACACTAAGAAATTAGCCCAGGACGTCTCTACCCAACAGCTTATTTTAGTTGCCGTATATGATTCCGACGGCCATCTTTTTTGGTTGGACTTATGTATAAGACTCGCCTGATAGGATACAATACACATGTGGAACCCATTGAACATTGATTGGCTGGGTATATAAACTACAATGGCAGGGATTACACCCAAGCTCCTCCTTGAGAAAGTCCTGAGGACGAAACAGGTCGGACAATTTTGGAGCATTATGAGGTTTTCACCTACTTCTTATTGAGACATCCTCCTATCGTATTC